GAGTCGCCGCTCCAGGCTGATAAATGCGGTATACAAATGGAGTAAATAAATAAATAAATAAATAAATAAAAGCGCAGTTTGATGAACTCCGTGGGGGAGGACTGGCTGGCGGGCCGCGCACGGCTCGTGCTATCGTCCCTGAGCGCTTTATCGGAGATAAAGATGGTTTGCCACTGTTTTTGATGCAGACCGAAGTTTATTTTAAGCAAGTGCCTGCAACTGCTTATGCTACAGATGAAAGCAAAGTGGCTTTTGTGATCAGTTTGCTGTCTGGCCGAGCGGGTAAGTGGGCAGTAAATCTGGTTAATAGCAATAGCCCCTTACTGCGCAATTATGCTGGCTTTTTGGACGCTCTTAAGGAGATGTTTGGAGACCCTCTCCAGGAAGAGAATGCCAGCCGTGAGTTACATGCTATCCGGCAAGGGAAAGAATGTGTGTTGGACTATTTGAATCGTTTCAACCATCTGAAACAGCACTTGGACTGGGGCGAGAAAGCTTTTATGACTTGCTTCACAGCAGGGCTTGCTCCAGCTTTAAAAATCGAATTGGCACGCTTTGAACCTCCTGACACCTGGGAGGCTTTGACTAAAACGGCTCTTCGACTGGAGAGGAGACAGAACATGCTGAGGAAGGAGGGCTATTTCCAGCCGCAGTTCCAGTCTACCCCCTCCCCTCAAGTCACCGCCGCTGCTGTCTGTTCCAGTCTGGATTCCGAGGAGCCCATGCAGCTGGGGAGTCAACGCCGGTTATCCAGGGAGGAGAAGCAGAGACGGCGTCAGCTCAATTTATGTTTGTATTGCGGAGCGGGGGGCCATTTCGCCCGCAGTTGTCCGGCCAAGGCTCCCAGGGAGCAGGGAAAAGGCCAGCCCTAATGTGCACTGGGGCAAGCACATTAGGGCCAGCGGTTCAGTGGCCCCGGTGTAAAGACCATGTGTTTTTACCCATTGAACTCTGTTCTAACCAAGGCAATAGGTTCTCCACTTGGGCCCTAGTGGACTCTGGGGCAACCGGGTCTTATATGGACACAAGCTTCGCTATGGACCATCATATTGTGTTACAAAGGAAGCGCCAGCCAGAGTGGGTGGAAGGAGCAGATGGTGCTCTAGTGGGCCACCGGTCTGTTACTATGGAGACTGGGCCCCTGAGGTGGGAGGCTCAAGGTATAGAGGGTCGGTTTTCCTGGGATGTGATTAACTTGCCTAGGTATACCATCATCCTAGGCATGGACTGGCTGTCCAAGATTAATCCCAGAATAGACTGGCAAGCCAAGACCATTACCTTAGCACCACCTGTATGTGGAACGTTGGCAGTAAGTCCAACGGATGTGGAAGGTGTTCCTGAATGCTATAAAGACTTTTATGATGTGTTTAGCAAGGTACAGGCTGACAATCTTCCACCCCATAGGCCTTATGACTGCCAGATAAAGTTGATGGAGGACGCCAAGTTGCCTGCGGGCAGGCTTTACGCTTTGTCTCTTCCAGAACGCCAGGCCTTGAAGGACTACATTGAGGAGAATCTGGCCAAAGGGTTCATCCGTCCGTCCAGTTCTCCCACGGCGGCTCCAGTGTTCTTCGTGTCCAAGAAGACGGGTGATTTACGTTTAGTTTGTGATTATCGTATTTTGAATAAGTTTACCATCCGGGACCGTTATCCGTTGCCTTTGATTCCTGAGTTATTGTCTCGTGTTCAGGGCGCATCTGTTTTTTCGAAGTTGGATTTAAGGGGCGCCTATAATTTGCTCCGGATTAAGGAAGGCTACGAGTGGAAGACCGCCTTCAACACTTATCTCGGGGCTTACGAATATTTAATCATGCCTTTCGGATTATGTAATTCGCCAGCTGTGTTTCAACGCTTAATGAACGATGTGTTTAGAGATTTATTAGATAAATTCATGGTTTGTTATCTCGATGACATCTTGATCTACTCAAAGGACCTTCGGCAGCATCGAGAACATGTGAGGACGGTGCTGCAGAGGCTTCGGAAACACGGTCTGTTCGCCAAGGCTTCTAAGTGTGTTTTTCATGTCCCGGAGGTGGAGTTTCTGGGACACATAGTCTCTGGGCGGGAGGTGAAAATGGACCCGCATAAGGTGGACGCTGTCCAGTCCTGGAAGGAACTCGCCTCAAAGAAAGATGTGCAACGTTTCCTAGGTTTTGCTAATTATTATCGAGACTTTATTCCCCATTATGCAGAAATCACCGTGCCGCTGACTCGCCTCCTGAAAAAGGACCACCCATTCGTATGGACTAAGGAGGCTCAGAGAGCATTCGAGACCATCAAATGCAGTTTCGCTGATGGGAGAGTCCTGTGTCAACCAGATGTGGACCGTCCTTTTGTGGTTGAAGCTGATGCCTCCAACTACGTGTTGGGAGCTGTCCTGTCCCAGTTAGACTCCAAGGGTATCCTTCGGCCTTGTGGCTTTTACTCTCGCCAATTGTCTCCCTGTGAACAGAACTATACAATTTGGGAGAAGGAGTTACTGGCGATTAAGGTTGCCTTCGAGGTTTGGAGGCACTGGCTCGAAGGTGCCAGGCACCAGGTGGTGGTGCGGTCTGATCACCGTAACCTAGAACATTTGCTAACCGCTCGCAAATTGAACCAGCGCCAAATTCGTTGGGCTATTTTTTTTAGTCGTTTTGATTTTCGTGTTGAGTTCATTGAGGGGAAAATGAACTTGAGGGCGGATGCTTTGTCTCGGAAATCTGAATATAAGACTGATGTGGCACCCGTCCTGCAGACTGTGTTACCTACAGCGGCTCTCAATTTAATGGAGGGTGCGGGTGATCTTTGTGACCAGGTCAAAGCAGCGCAAGCTGAGGACATTTGGACTCAAGAACAGCTCACCTTGTTAGCAAATGGCCAGAAGTCTGTACTCCCTAATCTTCGCAATGAGGGTGGGATTTTGTTGCGCAGAGAGCAGCTCTACGTTCCTGCAGGTAGTTTACGCCTTGAGATTCTTAGATCCCACCATGATGAACCGGCTGCAGGTCATTTTGGGAGGTTTAAGACCGTGCAACTAATCACTAGAAATTTTTGGTGGCCAAAAATGAGGCAGGACATTTTACAGTACTGTGACAGTTGTGCCGTCTGCCAGCAATGTAAACATGCTCCTGGAAGGCCTAGTGGCCTGTTATCCCCTTTGCCGGTGCCTGAGAGACCTTGGCAGGTCATTTCTATGGACTTCATTACTGATCTCCCCAGGGCACGGGGATACGCCTGTATTTGGGTAGTAGTGGACTTGTTTTCTAAAATGGCTCATTTTGTTCCGTGTGCGAAAGTTCGCACAGCACCTGGGTTGGCCCAGCTCTTTATGAAGCATGTGTTTAAGTTACATGGGGCTCCGGACACTATAATTTCAGATCGCGCCCCTCAGTTCGTGTCGCGATTCTGGAAGCAGTTCCAGGCCCAGATGGGCACGAAGCTCAATATCTCTTCTGCTTTTCATCCGCAGACTGATGGCCAGACGGAACGTGTGAATGGCCTTTTGGAACAGTATTTGCGTTGTTTTTGTTTACAGCAAGCTGGGGATTGGGTGCAGTGGCTTCCTGTGGCTGAATTCGCCTACAACAATGCTACCCATGCCGTCAGTCGCCATTCCCCTTTTGAGTTGGTTTATGGTATGCAGCCTAGGTGGGGGTCGGCTCCGGCGCATGATATTATTTCCACGGACCCTGTGTACCGTTCTAACGAATTTCTTGCTTTGCATGATGTTGCCCGGCGTATTCTTGTGGAAGCTAAGGATGCTCAGAAAGCACAAGCTGATAAGCATCGGCAGGAGGGTGCTGAGCTCCAGGAGGGGGATTTGGTTTGGCTCTCCTCCAAGCATCTCAAGCCATCTGGGGGCAAGTTTGCGCCTCGTTATGTGGGACCCTACCCTATTGTCAAGAAGATTTCGCCTGTGGCTTTCCGTTTGCGTTTACCTCCTTCGTTGAAAGTGCATCCTGTGTTCCATCGCTCTATGCTCAAGTTAGCCACCTCTGAGTCTCGGCCTCAAGTGTCTGAGTGTATCTCGCGCCCTGCGGCTCCGCCTGAGGAGGGGGAGGCCTTGGAGGGGGGGATAGTGTTGAGACTCAGCGTCTGTCTGATGCACCTACTACCAGTTGTAGGAGAAAACGTGGCTTAGAGAATGATGAAGAGCAGCAGCAGCTGAAAAGGATCAGGGACTTGTTTCTTGAGACTACTGATGAGGAGGATTTTGTGGGCTTTACTCACGAGGAAATGGTGCTAGATGACTACAGAGGTGTAAAAAGAGTAGCCAGCAGCTCTAATAGTGATGTGGGGTCTGTTGCTAAACGTCTGAGAGACGTAGCTGACTGTGCAGACTTTGACAGCGAAGAGGAAGAGCTGGACTGGACTAAAGTTCAGGAAGTAATGGATGTTCTTAACGCCCCCACATCTAGCGATGAATTCCAGGGTTTTAATGATGTTACTTTGCAGGATGCAGCCCGAAGTGCTGAGTGGCAGCAATGGCGTGGCTTCAATTCACCTGAGGGTTTAGATCCAGCTGAAAGCAGCTCCAGCGATTCGGATGAAATTTAAGGAGCGGTTTGGGGACCATCTAATCGCAGAGTTCAAAGTGTCGCATGCTGTGTGCTTTGTGTTAACTCCTGCCGTGAGCTCTTGTTGCAGCTTCGTGTTCCTGTTCGTGTGATCATCTCTGCCGGACCCTGACTCGTGAGTGTGCCTTGTTCTGACCCTTGGACTGCCTGACTACGCCTCTGCCTTGCCCCAGAATCTTCGTTGGACCGCTCTCCATACGGAGTGTTGTTTGCTGATTTGTTGCTGCTGTTTTGGACTATGTTTGTATGCTGAAGATAAGCTGCCTATTTGTGTTTAAGACTGCCTTCTCTTTCGCTGACTCAAGCCGGTTTGTTTACATTACTGCTGACTGCAAGCTCCTTTTGTTTATCCCTCTGAAGTGAAGAGGCCTTTTGTTTTGTTAAAGAGACATTAAACACCTTCAATTAACTCCTGCATTGCTGTTTTGTCCTGCCGCTGGACCTGGGTCGTGACAATGTGTTTACTGTAATCCGCCCTGAGTCCCCTGCGGGGTGAGAAGGGCGGAATATAAGAACTGTAAATAAATAAATAAATAAATAAATAAATAAGGGTTTTTATCTTAGCAATAACTATTCTGATTCACTCAAGACAAGGGAAAAATCAATTACATTACTTTATTAATTGTGAAATATGAAGAATGCACTGCTTTTTCTGTTCTCTTTTATAAAACACTCATGTCAAGCCATGTATATGAGATAATTTGTTATTACATAATATTTGTGTGATTGCCAAGCATTCTTCAGAAGTGATAAGGTCTTCTAGCTTTTCAAAAAAAAGTCATTTGAGACAACTGAAGAATATGAAATTTGGAACTAATTTCTTAAGCTGAATGTACAACTGGCTTGCAAGCACTCACACGAAATAATAATGGGCTGCTGTTCACAGTACTATATCATTAGTTCCCACCTTCCAAAGGGGCTTTAAATTTCAATGTTTTATCCATAATCCCCAATATAACATAAACAACCAAGGAGAATTTTAAAAACATTTCATATTAGGACATGGGGGATATTGATTCAAATATAAGAAAAATCCAGAATACTTCTGGAAAGCTGAATAACTTTGAACTATAATTGGACTGACAGTCATAACTCTTAGAAAAGCTTCTGTGCTGTATTATAGTTCTACAAATACTTACCAACAGCAATGCCAGGGTCTGAGTTAGCCGTCTGTACAAGTTCTTTGCCCTGATGACGAATGACCCAGTTTGGATCAATCTGCGTTGTTCCTTTAGGGTCCAGGGGCACCATCTGGAACTTTCTGAAATCAGTTTCACTAATGGCATCATTTTCAGGACACACATCATAAATATCTGGGACTTTGTCATTGTCAAAGTCATCTTTGCAGATGTCACCTCGGCCATCACCTAAAATGTGTATGTTGAAGGGTAAAACCCCCACAAAATAGAATTACTTATTTCACATTCAGAACTTTTTGCCCCAAGATAGTTTTTTTAAAAAAAAATGGCAACTTGTGTAATTAGCAATAATATAAGCACTGAAAATTCAGTAGCAAATTCTCAAGAACAGAGAAATCTAACAGAGCCATTTAGTAAGCTTTCATTGAGGCTGTTGTGTAATAAAATGTACTTCAGACAGACAAATCAACTGTCAGTGAAAAGGTCTTTACAAGCTTCATAATGTAATACACAATCTATGAATTGGAAGAGCTTTTGAGATTACGTAGTTTAACTTCCTGATCAATATAAGATGGTTATTATTATTATTATTATTATTATTATTATTATTATTATTTTCCTTTGCTACACATGAACTGGAATATCAGTCACTGATTTTAAAAGAGGATGATGTAGAAACCTCTAAATCCTTTACACCCTAATAAGCACTCAGTGAAATGGAACTTCACATTAAACGTATCTGTGTTATCAGATAACTTCAGCAATATTCTTCTTATAAACATTTAAGTTTATGGTCATGTATTCTTGCCACATCTGTATCAAATTAGTGAATAAGGCATTACATCAAATCATATTTAAAATAGCTCTTGGCCATATGTTAATTTATAGGAGAAAATGTTATCTTATGAAAAAGAACAACAGTGATAAACTATAAGAGCAATAATCATTCTTCTAAATCCTGGAATGGAGCTAAAACATGATCCTATTTGATTTACATGGCAGAGCTATTCTAGGGAGTAGAGTGCAACAAGAAAAATATCCTGATACAGAGAAACCTTTTTAATGGTAATTGGTAAATAGTTTGAGGGCTATTTCAGAATATAATATTTACCATGTTAAAGAGTCATTTAAGAGTGAAGAACAGTAGACATGAAAAAAGACGTCAAAACAGCAAACTGAAATGGTACCATGTCTTCAGTATTCCCCAATTAACAATTTGCACATCACATCCTGCAAACTCACTATATTTTCCAAATACACATATTTTCTACCACATTGTCTCCAAAATTTTCAGTTCGTTCAGAAAATACTATTTATGTATGACTCCTACTTGTGCCCTCTGGTTTCTGACACTTTTCCAGATATCTCCAATATATGTTTGAACTTATTGATATAATCATGGGGTATTTTTAACTGAAATTCTAAGATACTTCTGTGAACACCAGTCAGTATAATTCTCCCACTCCATCTATTATTGCACATTTACATTAATTTATCTAATCGGTAAGGAGATCCAATATCACTTCTTTCAGATCCATATTTCTTCAGAAAGTGTCTCACACAGTTTCCATGACTAGTTTTTGTTATGTGGTGCACAAAAATGTTTTTGAAAATACAGTCAGAAAGAGAAATATTCAAGTATCTAAAATGGTTTTTGCCATTCTTTGTGAGAAAATGGCTCCACTTTCCACAATCTGACTGGTTGGCTGAAAAACCTAACTCCAAATTCTGACCAGCTGTGTGCTCCTGAACATGTGTTATCTTAACACTTAAGGAGAAAAGTGTGTGTTCCTAGTTATATTCCTCTTGCTAACATCAAAGAAGCATTTGTGGTCCGAATTAAGTTTTAATTCTTTAGTGCAAATGCTGTCCAAATCCCCTGTGGTGATGTTTGCTGCTGACAAGGCTGCTTTTCTGCCAAGAAACTTAGGAAAGTGTTTGCTCCAGCAGCCATGTTCATAAACGTTTTGGAGACCTTCCCTCTGAGGGATAGTAGTTCCGACACAAAGTCTCATTCAGTTTTATCCCTTGAAAGGATCCTACATTTGGGACCTTAATTAAGAACTACACAAGACATAGATTCACCTGTGACGAAATGACTACTTCTACACCTGGCAATAAATTGATCTTCCAGTTATTGGAATCACATGGGAAAAAGTAAAAACATGTGATCTGCTATGATGCTGAATGAGAGCCAGGACTGCATTTCACTGCAACTGCTCAAGGATTCTAAGGGCCTTTCCACATAGCCATATAATGCAGAATATCAAGGCAGATAATCCACAATATCTGCTTTGAACTGGGTTATCTGAATCCACACTGCCATATAACCCAATTCAGAGCACATAATGTGAACTTTTATACAGCTGTGTGGAAGGGGCCTAGGTTCAGGGAGTTCAAGACAAAGATCAAGGAGGCCCGTGAAGACCATGAAAGGGTTAGAGCTAGCAGGACAAAAACAGAAACAAAATGTATTGTTTTGCTCTGAATTTCCAGATTTCCAGACTAGCTTACTTGCTTTTGAAACACCATCTTCAAAATGAATTAAATGCTACTTTAATAGGATAATCATAGTTAGGGTAATCATATGAAAGCCCTCCTCCAGGGCAAGACAGAAGTAAAGTGTTAATACATCTATAAGTGACTCATCTGTGAGATAAATTAGTCACAGCTTCCAGCATAGAGGCTCTGTGTGTGTGTGTGTGTGTGTGTGTAGTGCAAAAACTTGGTCATTAGAAGTAAAAAAGAATCTTAATGGCACAGTTTGGCTAATTGAGATTTGTAGTCCAACCAAATAACATCTCCAAGATATATGATCTATAACCTGGACAAGAAAAAGAAGATGGGCCTCTGTAGCTGTTCATGTCCTTGGCAGTTTCTGTGTCTGTGAAATAGCCTTACCATCAGAGTCCTTCTGGTCTGGGTTAAATGTGAGACGGCAATTGTCCCTGTCATCTGGAATACCATCATTGTCGTCATCAGGATCACAAGCATCTCCTTTCCCATCCTTATCATGATCTGCCTGATTGGCATTAGAAATGTACGGACAGTTGTCTTTGTTGTTCTGGTGACCATCTTCATCAATGTCCTCATTGTTGTCACATTGGTCACCAACCAGATCATTATCGACATCAGTCTGAATAGCAGAAAGATAAAAGAATCTGTGCCAACACTAGAACTCAAAGTGCATGTTATAGAGAAAAATCATATCTTAATATATACAGCTATGACAATAGTAAATCACCACCATCACCATCATTGTCCTGAAATCATATTAAGGACATTGGATTTGTTGGAAATATATGTATTAGAAAAAAGATCATTCTTAAGGCATGTAAAAAAAAATCAGGAGGTTAAAGATGATGTTTCAGTGAGTGCCTAGAAGGCAGAGTAAAACACCTGCAGGCTAACAGAGTAATTACCTGAGGTGTCGACAGCTAATAAAAGTTTGGCTATAAATCAGGATGCCAAGAGATGTTATTTCTCTTTCACTATTGACCTCCTTCCATGACTGTTGGTTTGTAAACTTGTAAGTATTTGTAAATTGTAACTATAATAAACAGTGGGCCGCTAAGTGTTTATCTTAGCAGTGGTAAGAAATGCTAGAAGCTGCAGTCCAACTACATCTGAAGGGCCACATTTTGGCCACCCTGTCCCCAAAACAATTTACAGACTGTGAAATGTGCATCTAATTGTAAGAGAAGTTTTAAAAGCACTAACCATATTCTTTCATTCTCCCACCCACTGTTACTGGTCCTGCCCCTTGTGATTACACTATCCGCTCAATTTGCTATCTTTATCATGCCAGAAGAAACTTGTTCCTCTTAGAAGAATCAGTGCTTTCAAAAAGTGATCATTGCATGGTAAATCAACATGTGTATCAATCCCATTGGGTCACTGGATTTCAACCTCCACATTTCCAGGCTTTATATGGAAAAATTCTAGATATCTATTTGCTTAGTGTAGGCTCCCAGGTTGAGATTATTCTCCCAAAGAAAACAAACATTATCTTCCCTTCAAATGATGGCAATTTTGTGACTGGAGAATGTGTGAACAGAGCTACTGCTCTGACCCACTTTTCTTTGCCTTCTGCATTCAGTTGAAGGGGTAAGGGAAAGATCGTGTACCATTTCATCATGTACCATGGATATAATTAATTTTCAGAAAAAGAGTTTAATTCTAAATGTAATTATGACTGGCTCAGATTTAATTTCCTTTAGTACTGAGACTTTACAATGTCTGCTTTAATTCTGCAAATATTTGGCATCATGGCCCACAATATCTCTTGAGACCACTGCAAGATGAAGAGAAATACCTTGACTTCAAGAAGTTTCAGTTCTAGTCTTTGTTTCCTTTGTAGGATTGTACAGATGAAGAAAATTTGTGCTGCTATTACGCAAATTTTTTCTTAGCTTAGAAACATTCTTAAGGCATGACTAGCTGATATTGACGTCAGTGGTGTTCTGTATGTTCTTTTATTTGTATAACCCTCCTCCACAAAGCCAGTGGCAATAACTTTGAACAATTAGAAATTCAATCTAGACCATTCACCCACCTTGAAGGCACATACTTCAGGCCAGAGCATTGAAAAATTTGAGAAGTTGTGTTTTTATAATTTGGGCATCCACTTTAATGCAGACTACTATTTTCCATGAATGTTCATCTTTAATGTAATGATTTGTCATGTTATTAAACAGAACCACCTTAATACCATTCTGAATTCAGCATAAGTACAACCAGCTCTTGGAAAAGTTACTTCTTTGAACCACAATTCCTGCACTGCCCCAGCAAGCCAACTAACTTTTCCAAACTCTGAATAAAACACAGCACAGCTGCAATATAAGGCTGGAAAGTCCACTGTGGTTTGGGAATCATGTCAGCAATTTGAAAATGTCTGGTGGCCAAATAAAATAGAAGCTTGTGAATGTATGTACACACAGGCACACACAAGCAGAGGCAAATACTGTGTTTTTCTTATATACACAGGATATTTGTTACCTTACCCTCTCTACCCTCAGTTTCTGAACACTTTTAAGCTGTTTAAAAGAGCACTCTGGAAAACAAACTGCATGGAGAGAGAATTTCAAATGTTTTGTTCACCATGAATATTTCACTACTCTGGAGAATCATTAAATAACCTTATCTATCTGTCTCAGTTGTTGTCCTATCATTAGGCAGTGTACAGCTGCATCTCTCAGGAATTCTACTACACTGTCCAGAATCCCCTGGTTTTGAGAATTTACCTGAACCTTCTGAATTCTCCTGGGAATACTAGACTATTTTGACATAAAGACTACTACACAAACTAGCACAATTTCATTATATAGATATCAACAATCACTGAATATATTGCCATAGGAGATACCATTTAAGTTTGTGTTGCAGACACCAAAAAGTTTCTCTGATGCTAATCAATCTTTTATTACAGGAAAAGTATGCTGTAAAATGTTTCAAAATGCCAACTACCATTTCTCCTTCCCAGTACATTATTGCAACTCTAATGATAAGGCAAAAAGTATTTCCCTTCAAAATACTCCATAATAATCTTGATGTCTTTTAACTATGCAGGGCTGATGTACAGATGTGTGTGTGTTGTCAGATATTAATAACACACCACTCTGGCTCAAAACTGAATCTTTGAATAGACTCCATTGGAAAGCACTGAATTTGAAGTAATATAGGATCTCTGAAGTGCCGGATGTATGATTACTATTTAACTCCTATAATTAATCACTTTGTGTAGCAGTTACCAAATGGCAAACATGCATGTGTGAACCCACCCTCAAGCTGGAAGAACCCCTAATAGGAAATCATTCGTTCTCCTCTCTGACGTCTCTAAAAGATTTCTGGCAGTAAGAAAGGATGGACACAAAATGGGAATATGGAGTGTTTTTCCAGCAATGTATTTCTTCCCTGTCAGCCAGGTTTGAATTTAGGTATTGAAAAGAAGCACTACTTGTTTCCTATAACAAGCCTAGGTTTCACCTCAGATCCTAAACTGTGCAGTAGTCTATAGAACCTCTAAAATCAAGGAAGCTGTCGATCTCATAATTTCAACTACATATAGAAATGCTAGTTCATTTACCTGATCAGGATTGTGAACCAGAGGACAGTTGTCACATTGATCACCAACTCCATCTCCATCTGTATCTGTTTGATCAGTGTTGTAGACATATGGGCAGTTATCTCGCGCATTGAAAACATCTGCCAAGAAAAAAAGGCAATGAAAACTAGTTCACCAAAGCAAACCAGAGTTCAGATTCCCTTGGCACAGAGCAATCGTTCCAGAATGGGGCTTTTACTTATTGCGTCCTCAAAGGAGTCCTATGGAGATAAATCAAGCATGGAGAGTAATTCCCTACTATAGCACTTTTATGTGCAGAAAATATTACCTTTGTGCAGAAAATCAAGTATTCTATATAGAAAATATTGTTCTGTGCAAAACCACAGGTAACCTGGCATGTGATGATTCTTACACATCCAAGAGTCTCCTCATCAACATTTCTTGAGATTTGAAAAACTACTTGGGGTTTCTTATTTTTGAATATTTTCAAATACTGTTTCCATTTTTATATGCATTTTTAATGGCAAGCATTTTAATTCTTAGAAACTGCCTTGACTATCTACAGAAGATGAGCTATAAATGTCTACAGAAATACAGTAACTGAATGCTGGTATAAACCTTATACTATGGAAAACCTTGAAAAGTGTTAGAGATTCTCCTGATAGACACATCCAACATTTTACTCAGTCACTGAATCAAATCCAGGGCTTAATAAGGGCTTTTTTTCCTTTGGTGCTGAAAACTGGGATTTATCTGCCAGGAAATGCTGTAGCAACATCCTTGGAACATAGATGCTTCTGTGTCCGACTCTTGCCAAAACCTACAAACCTAAAAGAGCATTGTGAAAATACCAACAATGTTTGGGTTGGTAGGCTTTTCAGCACTGGGCTACTGTTCAGGCCAGTTTTGCCAGTTTAATAACCTTAAATATCACTGTTGGTCTCCCCCCTCCTTTTCTGAGCCAAAAATGTAATTTGGGATCCTTAATATTCTAACATCCAAAATACATTTCTCTTCTACCCCTAAGGCATTTTGGCAAGCCCTCCAGGTGAAGACATTTGATTTAGCTGGCATGTCAAATATGGTTCTTCATGCAGGAATATTCTGCAGAAATGTTTTAATATATTATCATCTTTCACTTCTTGTGAGCTACCCAAAGAACCTATGTTGGCCTAGATAAATGTAGCAAATTAAACAAACAAACATAGAAGACTATGGTTTTTCTCCAAATTACACTTAGATTTGTCATTACATTAACACATAAAATGAATGGAACATTTTAAAAAACACTTCATCCACTATATTTTTCTACCCCAAAATACTTCTTAGAGAATATCTAATAGGTTTGGATCACCCAAACTATCAAGGCAGATAATCCACAATATCTGCTTTGAACTGGAATATTGGAGTCCACACTGCCATATAATCCAGTTCAACATGGATTTATACAGCTGTGTGGAAGGGCTCAGAGACACTTTGTTATTGTCCAGAAAAAGGAAGGCAATGATACCTTTTTAATATTGTATCCAAGCCTGCAGAAAATCAGAAAAATATAGACATATTCCTTTAGGGGATATCGAGTTCGTTTTACCAGTCTTATATTTAAATTGTATGGAATTTAGCAAGTTACTTTATATTGAGTAGCTTTAAATATATATAATTTAGTAATATTTTGTGTGATGGTCTCACTTTACTATTTTTATCCATTTTAGATTTATATTTAGAAGTAATAGGTTTTTTTATATATAAAATTAATCTAAAGCCCTGGTGGAACATTTTTAGATTAACTTTTCTTTTTTCCCCTGGATTAGGAGCAATGCACATAAATCATACACATCCAACTATGTATCCAGACACACATCAAATGGAATGCAGCCTCTCTGCAGAATTATTTTGGATGCACATTTTAAATTGAATTCAAATGCACATCCTTAATCCCATTGTTCCACTGTCAGCCACATTTTAACCCTTGATTAGTAGAATTTGGATTTGAAACTATGTTTCCAATATGAAACAAATGAAAAATTTGCTTAATATTAGCAATATAGGAAGATTAGGAAGAGCTTCCTGATTGTAAGAGCTGTTCAACAGTGGAACTCTCTGTCTTGAAGTGTGATGGATGTTCTTTCTTTGGGGGCTTTTAAACAGAGGCTGGATGGCCATCTGTTATGGGTACGTTGAATGTGATTTTCCTGCATGACAGGGGGGTTGAACTGGATGGCAGGTTGTCTCAGGCAACCATGGTGGACAACCAGTGGCAAGCTGGTCATGTGAGAATATTGGCCGGCAGTCAGGGTGGCTGAGGAGAGGATCCAGATCCATGGGAGGCCAACCCTGTTGAGCTGCAACTAAATAAAGTTGCAGCCTTTTTATTACTCAAACATGGTGTCATTTATCTGTGTCCGTGTGCAAGCAGGACATCCCCGCATACACATGAAATCTCTAGTCAAATGGAAGTTTCCATGACTAGAACAGCAGAAGGTAGTTTTAACCAATCCCCTTGTAACTACCTGTAGCTCATAAAATCTGGTTTTGAGGGTGGAGGAAAACTCTAAATCATGTTGGGAGGATGGAACAATAACGTAAGAGGAAATAATGAAAATGTCAAGTAAAACAAGATATTTATTTCAATGGAATTTCACCAATTAATAGAACCAAATATATTTGGATGTGTTTTCCGACTGATCAGTCTCATCCTAAACATTCATTTCAAGATTTGCAAATATATACTCCTTTTCTCTTGAAATGGTAAACATATACCAGACAGGTGGGAACAAACCGCCACGTGCTAATATCTTAATGCCATTCTCTGTTTTACCCATACTTTGCTTTCTTAAGCATTTGTGGATGAGCTTGAAAACCAAGAACCAGCAATTGAGGTGAAATAGTCCATAAGGGATCATTTGTTCTTCTTTATTTGACTATGATGCAGAACAATTGTTTATTCTGAGTTGCTACATTCCTTAAGAAAAACAAAATCATCCAAATTAATGAGAACGTACCATCTCCATCAATATCCACTGCACATGCATCACCCTCGCCATTATTATCAGTGTCAATTTGAGCAGGATTATGAACATAAGGGCAGTTATCACAACGGTCACCAACTTCATCTTTATCATAGTCAAATTGACGGGGATTAAAAAGGAGGGGACAGTTATCCTGAAAGGAGAAACAAGATTAAATAAAATCAGTATCAGCAGAGTTCCGAAACTTTTAAAACATTCCCAGCAAAAACAAATTCACCTTCTGTAATAAAATTAAGATAATAAGCATCATGTTTCCATTGAGATTTTAAAGTAGCCTCAAGTTGATGCCAATGCCAATATAAAGACAGGAAATACCACCATACCCAGAGTTTATGAAGAGTAAGATAGAAACAGAATGAAAAATGGATGAGTGAGCCAATATCAGATATTATTAACACACATTCTAAATCAAGGGAGGAAGAGTATAGTGTAGGGGCAGCATAAGGTCCACAGGACCATTTGGGCCCCACGTATTTTTTCTGCAAGCCAAACATTTTTTGTAAAGATGTACTTTAGGGGGATATAGAGGACACCCCCCCCCTCCCAGGTCAAAAAATTTAAAAACATTTTTCAAAACCTTTTTTGCCCTGAAATGCTCCAAAATGTATACTAACTTGAAAAGTGAATATAAAGCTTTGCAAAAAAAAAAAAATAGTGTGGAAGTCCAAGTTTCATAGCTCAAACCCCAACCTTTGGCTTAAAGAAGTTACATTACAATAAAGACACTAATAACTACTTGATGATACCCTTTTACTGTTTTCTTTTAAAAGGGGAAGATGGAGAGCTTACTTTATCATCCTCTACACCATCATTGTCGTCATCTTCATCACAGGCATCACCTTTTCCATCTTTATCAAAATCTTCTTGTCCAGAATTAGGTAACAGAGGACAATTATCCTGTCAATAGAAACATATCACACATTGTACACAAATCTGTTTCATAAGATGATAAGTATTCCAAAGTTTGACTAAAGGTTTGCCCCTGAAAATACCGTAAAATTCATCACTAGGCAAGATAAATGGAAAATTTTGAAACTATTTCTAGAGAAATATTTTTTTAATGCATATGGATTCCATTAATATTCATATACATTCCATGGTAATGAAATGCATTCTTTGGTCCTTTTGGATGATATTACTAAATTGAAATGCTATCTAATGATGGGAACCACCTGATATTTTTGCTAGATGGTAAGAGGAAGGCATTTGACCTCTATAAAATCCACATATGTACTAAAAAAATGATGACTTGGACTTTGGGGAAGAATCTCTTCTAAATGGATTCAGCATGTTAGTTATAGGGTTTTGTTTTTAATGGAAGCATATCATGAGTTTTACTTCTTAAATTAAATGAAGGATGTCCTGGTGACAGGAACAAAAAGAAAGGAAAAGAAATATGAACTGCAAGTGCTGAGTTGGCAACATTAATAGTTGAGCAGACTTCAGCCCAGGACTGAAGGAATCCAACATCTGAATGATATGTTCAATGAAAGTCTAGGACTCACTTCCTGTTCATGAAAGACCAGGAAGAAAGGAATCCATTCCTAGTTCCATTTCCCCAGCCTTGTAAAGGCACAATGAGTTTTCAAAATATTATTTATTTATTTATTTAAAACACTTATATTCCGCCCACACTGATCACTTCTCGCGAGTTTCTGAAGCAAGGCACAAAAATCTTTTCAAAATCTTTTACAATCAAGAAGAAAGCATTGTTGAAGGCTTCCATGCACAGAATAACTGCGTTGTTGTAGATTTTTCAGGCTGTGTGGCCATGTTCTAGAAGCATCCTCAGAGGTTGTGAGGTCTGTTGGAAAATTGGATTTATATATCTGTGGAAAGTCCAAGGTGGGAGAAAGAACTTGTCTGTTGGAGCTAGGTGTGAATGTTTCAATTGGCCACCTTGATTAGCATTTCCACAGATATATAAATCCAATTTTCCTAGTTTCCAACAGACCTCACAGCCTCTGAGGATGCCTGCTATAGATGCAGGCTAAACATCATGCTTCTAGAACATGGCCCAAAAAACCTACAACAACCCAAGAAGAAAGCACATTGAGAAAGAAATGGAAGAAACATTATTTGCTCCATCTTTTTAGATGAACCAATCTAGTTTACACTTTGTGTAATCTCCAGCTTTTCCAATGCAAGTCTGTGATGAAATTCTCCCAGAAGGACTACTGGAGGAAATACCATATTAAACAAATCCATAAAAGATAAACCCAAATTTCTAAGATAAACCTAGAAAATGGAACTAATCTAATTAGCAATGACCAGTCTTTGAGGAGCTTCCCTGAAACAGAGAAAGAGGGGGTGGGGAGAAACAGAGGGAAGGGAGAGAGGATGGGAGAGAGAATTGGAGAGGGAACAAGCCAATGTGGAAATGTTTCACACAGCATTGTCCAGATATAGCAAATGGCTCAAAAAGAACTATTTATTGGAAGCAATCAATAGATGCTCCTAATTCCCCCTCATGTATACACCAACAACATTTCCATACTTCCTTCTCACTTACCTTCATGCAGTGATAAGTAGCATTTGCAGCACAGACCAGGTTATTATTAGGCCATCCATCCAGGTCAGAGTCTTCGCCACAAATGAACCCATCACCAGCATAGCCTGTCCTGCATTCACACTTGTACATGGGGTCACTGAAATGGCCCAAATAGATGCACTCTGCAGACCTGTGGCAATTGTGTGTTTTGTCTTTACAAGGATTGGCTGGTTCACATACCTGAAAAACAAATGAAAAATACTTCAAACCATGTTTCATTAGAAAGAGTACAATACATTTGGGGAGAGCTTGGAAAAACAACTGACTGTGGAATTCCAGGAATTTCTTGGTGGGACTTCTGGAAATAGGTTTCCACAAAAAGTAACTTTTCCCAAAATCAGGGTGAATCACTAGACTAAACAAACCACAGCCCAAGTTCCCAGATAAATAAGGAGATGGAAAAACAAAACCAACAAATATAGAATGGGTGGCAGTGTGAAGCTGAGGCAATAAAATAAATAAAGGCATCCCAATCTACGTTGCATCAGCAGAAGACAGGTGTCCAGAGTAAAGGCAACAACAGGTCCAACCTGTTCTGCTTTGATCAGACATCACTTGAAATATTGTGTCCACTTTTGGGTACTGCAGTTCAGGAAGAATATTGACAAGCTGGAATGTGTTCTAAAAAGGGTGATCAAGATCGTCAAAGATCTGAAAACTAAGGTCTATGAGGAAAGGCTTAGGAAGCTGAGTATATTAGCTTGGAAAAGGCAAGACTGAAAAAAATGATATGATCTGAAGAGGTGCCAGGCATTCAGTCTTTTATTCAAACAGCATAAAGCATATCCAAAGCATCTGACTAATCAGAAGGGTTAACTTCCCACAATGCTGTTGAAGTTTAAGCTTCAATGTGTTCCCGTAGTCACATATTCTTTACAAATCTTAGCTGCAGACCAAAGGAACATTTGATTATTGAGTAAATTATGAACATTTGTCAATGGAGTCATTATGAATAAACTCTTATTTATTTATTTATTTATTTCAATGCCTTGAGTAGAATTACATACTACTTTACAATTTTTCCCCTTGTATCTGCAGACTTCTGAATGTCATTAACTAACAAACATTCTGTGGGGCAAAAACTTCTGATCCCACCCATTTCCTTTGCAGCAATTTCAGATGTAGCACCTAACCAGTTGGTTCATTTAGCATTCACTTCACCGGATATTAGTGAACTGCTTGGAGACTGCATTGGAGAATGCTGCCGTTATACTCTTTACACACATTTCTCAGTTTCAACCCCACAGCATGGCCACATTCCCCTGCATCCGATGCCAAAGTTAGCTGTTTAAATCTAACCAATATTATGGTTGTCTCTGTCCATGATTCTTTTAATGTGGCCCCAAACCATTTTAAATGCTCACATTTATTTTGTTTTTGCTTAAACAAATGACTGACCTTAACTTCTAAGCATTTCTGGTTTGGTGTGGAATTATACCGCCCATTTTAAACATGGCACTTGATATCTTTATGATTTTATAAAACGAGTCTTCAGGAGCAACACATCTTCTTTGTGCCACATTTTATACCAGATGTATCATATTTTCCATTCTGCTATAGGCCACTGGCCTTGTTTCAACAGTACTTACTTGTTTTTCCGCCCTGGCAGCCTCCAGGCCTACCCCATATGGCTGAGTTCCTTTGTAGCGTGGAGGGCAAGGCAAGCAATGGAATCCTGGATTTGTGTTTACACAACGGTGGTTCTGATTTAACTTAAAGCAAACATCTGGCACTACTGCACACTGCCAGGGGAAGGAAAAAACAAAAATAAATATAGCTAAAGAAAGATAGATAGAAGACAAAAAAAATCTAATGCTTCCATGGGAGGGGCCAAAGCAACATTTCCATGCAAACTGGAACCACATCTACCTCATCAAGGTCCTCACAGAATGTTCCATTTCCAAGATATCCAGCAGGGCATGCACCGCAAGACCAAGAACCATCAGGGTAGCTGTTGCATTCTGCTCCTGGGAAGCAAGGGTTTGACAAGCATCCATCTGCCAAAACAGGGTGAAAACTCATTAGATAACCAGTCAATCTTCTTTACTGGATAATATGAAAGGGAAAGAAACAATCCTTGTTTATACCATTCACATATGAAAAGTGTTTTATTAATTTAGTCTTTTTAGGCACAGCATGGTTGTAATAATTTGCTTGATTTACCACTCTGTTTCATGGTTGAGCAAATAATGCCTCCCATGTTTAAAAATGCATATGTTTTCCAAAACACCTATTCCCCATTTATTTGTGACAAAACAGACTGAAATGGCTTCTAGAGAACAATTCCTGTACTTAAAAAGACTCTTACTGAACATAAAGTGCCCACGTTATGCCTGAAAACATAGCACAAATGTCTCCCGAGCCTCCAGTGGGAACTTAAGGAATTTAAGGGGCAAAATTTGGCTTTTTTGTGTGTGAGTGAAGCAGGGGAGGTACTGCCCTCCAATGTCTACTGAAGGGGGTATGTATCCACAGTTCCCTGCTCTATTTTATATTAAATATGCTATATAAAATGTGTACTCTGATCAGTACAAAGCAAAGATAGAAAGACTATTCAAAGTCCAGGGTTTATTTTTTGAAGGGTTGCCGGGGTGTGTGCATGAAAAAGAGACTTCTGGTATCAGGGAATCCTAGTGAGGAAAATCCTGGACAAACCCCAGGTCCCCACAAGAAACATCAGCCCTGAGATCCTGCACCAAGGAAATGTTGCATAACCACCATTTTCCTCACTCTCGGCTATAGAAATTAATTGTTTTCCTGCAATCCCCAATCCTATTCTGGAGCAAGTCAGGAAGGTCATCAGGAAGGGCATGAGACAACTAAAGATTTCTTTAAACCTATGTTCTGAAAACCAGAAATATGACCTTCAGGGACCTCCTGGGTCCCTGAAGAGGTCCCACAAGTTGCCTTCATCATCATGCATCCAGCTACCAGAGTATAATATATTATCTCATGGGAATGAAAATAACTAATATACCTAGTACAAGGGCACAGCAACAAGAATTAAATACATATGAAAAATCAATGGGGAAAATTATGTGCTCTGTCACAGTGCTGTGGGTCCTCCAAACTCTTAAGATGGGTTTGCAGGCAGGGTTGGTGTACGACATCTGCATGTGTGAAATATAATAACTTATGTATACTGTACTGTTTTGGATGAAATATTATTACTACCCAATGTATCCCAAACTTACCTATTGGACAGTCCTGTTTATTGCACATATCTCGCTGTATGACATCTCCCATACAGGGTTTTCCTCCGTACTGAGGTTCTGGGCTATTGCAGAGACGAGATCTCTCATGAATCCCTCCTCCACATGTAACTGTACAAGCAGACCAGGGAGACCAAGGGCTCCATCGACCATTAACTGGAATAACCCAGACAACAGTAGACATTAACATTAATAATAAAACACAATTAAATGGTAAGTATAATGTCCACATCTGTTTGTTTGTTTTTTTTTTCATATCAGGAAAGACTTGGAAAACTGCAAGTCGCTTCTGGTGTGAGAGAATTGGCCGTTTTCAAGGATGTTGCCCAGGGGATGCCCTGGTGTTTTGATGTTTTACTATTCTTGTGGGAGGCTTCTCTCATGTCCCCGCATGGGGAGCCGGAGCTCACAGAGGGAGCTCATTGCACTCTCTCTGGATTCGAACCTCCGACCTGTCGGTCTTCAGTCCTGCTGGCACAAGGGTTCAACCCATTTTGCCACTGGGGGCTCCTCCACATCTGTTGATGTCATTTCATCAGTTGTTTTATTAATTCAATAAATGTAAATTTTCTCAGGGAAGGGAACTTTCCACCCTCTTTAAAAACAAGCAGTAGTTAGACCACTGCCTTAAATGTTTTCCCTGGATTACCTGGACCTTATGACAGACCAGTGTCTAATCTTCCTATTTTGAGCAAGGTAATTGAGAAGGCATTTTCTCTTGGTAGTCTTGGATTATATACATTTTATTGACCCATTTCAAATGCTTGTTATTTTTGCTCCTGTTCTTGTTTGTGGTCAAGCAAAGAGCCTGAAAACCCTCAATTGCTCAAAGGATTTGCTTCATTGGCAAAGACAGACTCTTTTATCTTGACAAAGCATGATATCTAAACTGTTTCCTTACTCTAAAATGAAGGTTCAGACTAGCAAACCTACTTGGACATGGTGGTCCTTCACATTCTTTGGTTTCACGCCCACTTCCTTTGCAGCCTTTCCCACCCATCTGTGGGATAGGGGAGTTGCAGAGACGTATGCGAGTTATGTTGCCTACTCCACAGGTCACAGAACAGGAAGACCAAGGAGACCAGTGGCTCCAGCCCCCATCTTGACGTACTGGTCAAAAGAAGAAGAATCACAATTCAGTTGCTTATCTTTACAGTCCCAATAGCTTCAACACAAATTCCCTTTGCCATCTAACTCAGTGGTTCTCAACCTTGGGTCCCCAGATGTTTTTGGCCTCCAACTCCCAGAAATCTTATCAGCTGGTAAACTGGCTAGGATTTCTGGGAGTTGTAGGCCAATTCTAACTAATTCTATGTACATTACAAATATGTATTGCAGATCCCCCCCCCCCCAGCCCTTCAGTCCATGCAAACATCTAGCCATGTCATCTTATGGCAAGGTGCTCATCTGTCTGTTTCTGACAAAAAATTGAAGTTAGATCAACAGACTTGAGATATGTCAAAACAAAAAGCTCTCATGCAGATCCTACAGAGCAGTATCTTCAGCAGAAAATGTTATTATTTATTTATTTATTTATTTTACTTTACTTTACTTCTATACCGCTGTTCTCAGCCCGGAGGCGACTCACAGCAGTTCACAGGACACAAGACACAGCAAAATTTAATACACCAATATAAAACAGTTAATAAACAATCTAATACACAGTTAGTATACAATTACTATAATAACCATTCAATAGCATCTCTTCACTAAAAAACATGATCCAGATTCGTCATCCATTGTTCCATTCCTATGTCATTGCCAGTCATTGCACTAATTATTCGAATGCCTGCACAAACAACCAGGTCTTTACTTTTTTGCGGAATGCCATTAGAGATGGTGCTAATCTAATGTCTGTGGGAAGGGCGTTCCACAGCCGGGGAGCCACCACCGAGAAGGCCCTATCTCTCGTCCCCGCTAGCCGTGCTTGTGATGCTGATGGGACCGAGAGCAGGGCCACCCCGGAAGATCTCAAAGTCCTGGTGGGTTCATAGGCCGAGATGCGGTCGGATAGGTAGCTTGGGCCGGAACCGTTTAGGGCTTTAAAGGTCAACACCAGCACTTTGAATTGAGCCCGGTAGCAAATCGGTAGCCAGTGGAGTTGGCGCAACAGGGGGGTTGTATGCTCCCTGCGCTCCGCTCCTGTTAGAATCATGGCTGCCGAGCGTTGGACTAGTTGAAGCTTCTGAGCTGTCTTCAAAGGCAACCCCACGTAGAGAGCGTTGCAGTAATCTAAGCGGGATGTAACCATAGCATGGACTACCATGGCCAAGTCAGACTTCCCAAGGTACGGGCGCAGCTGGCGCACAAGTTTTAACTGTGCAAATGCTCCCCTGGTCACCGCCGAGACCTGGGGTTCCAGGCTCAGCAATGAATCCAGGGTCACACCCAAGCTGCAAACCTGCGTCTTCAGGGGGAGTGCGACCCATCCAACACAGGCTGTAACCCTATGCCCTGTTCGGCCTTGCGACTGACCAGGAGTACCTCTGTCTTGTCTGGATTCAATTTCAATTTGTTTGCCCTCATCCAGTCCGTCACAGCAGCCAGGCACCGGTTCAGGACCTCGACAGCCTCCTTAGTAGCAGGTGGAAAGGAGTGACAGAGTTGGACATCATCTGCATACAGATGGCACCGTACCCCGAAACTCCGGATGATCTCCCCCAGCGGCTTCATGTAGATGTTAAACAACATGGGAGACAGAATTGAACCCTGTGGAACCCCACAAGACAACGGTTGTGGGGTTGAACAGGTGTCTCCTAATAACACCTTCTGGGATCGGTCCTGTAGGAATGATCGGAGCCACTGTAAAACAGTGCCTCCGAGTCCCATCCCCGCGAGGTGTCCCAGAAGTATACCGTGGTCGACGGTATCGAAGGCCGCTGAGAGGTCCAGCAGCACCAACAGGGACACACTCCCCCTGTTGAGCTCCCGGCACAGATCATCCACTAAGGCGACCAAGGCTGTCTCGGTACCATGTCCCGGTCTGAAACCAGACTGTGCCGAATCCAGATAATCCGTGTCTACCAAGAATACCTGGAGTTGTGAGGCCACCACGCGTTCCAGGACTTTGCCCAAAAGGGGAGATTGGAAACTGGCTGGAAGTTGTCAAATTTAGTGGGGTCCAGTGATGGTTTTTTCAACAGCGGTTTTATTATAGCTTGTTTTAAGCTCGCTGGAATCTTGCCTTCCCGAAGGGAGGCATTCACCACCACCTCAACCCACTCAGCCAATCCCCCTCTGGCCTCCTTTAGAAGCCAGGATGGGCAGGGGTCTAGGATGGACGTGGTAGGCCTCACTCCTCCAAGTATCTTGTCCACATCCTCGGGTTTCACCACTTGAAAAGAATCCATCAAAATAGGACAAGCAGGTGCTCGTGTTACATCCTCAGAGACTGCATTTAACGTGGTATCCAGACCAGAGCGGATCAAAGCGACTTTGTCTGCAAAGAACTGAGAAAAAGCTTCACAGCGAGAGGCCGAATTGTCAGGGTTCCCACCTTGAGTGGGGGGATTTAAAAGGCCTCTGACAATTCGGAACAACTCAGCCGGACGGTTCTTTGCAGACGCAATAGTGGCCGCGAAGAAAGCTTTCTTCGCGGCCTTTATTGCCGCGGCATATGCCCTTAAAAAGGACACAAACCGTGTTCGATTTGGCTCGTTCGGATCCAAACGCCACACGCTCTCTAGTTCCCTCTTCCTTCACTTCATCGCTGCCAGTTCCTCGGTGAACCAAGGAGCTGGTTTAGCTCGGCTACTTGAGAGGGGACGTTCTGGAGCGATCGTGTCAATTGCCCTAGTCATCTCCCCATTCCAGAGAGCGACCAGAGCATCGACAGGATCACCTACCGAGGCGGCGGGAAACTCCCCAAGAGCCATCAGGAATCCATCCGGATCCATAAGCCTCCTGGGGCGGACCAACTTAATGGGTCCTCCACCTCTGCAGAGGTTAGGGGGTGCAGTAAGCCTAAATCTGACCAGGTGGTGGTCGGTCCATGGCAACGGAGAGATGGTCAGCTCCTCAACACCACCACCTTCCTCCCATCCCTGACAGAAAACCAAGTCCAATGTGTGTCCTGCACTGTGAGTGGGGCCAGATACTTGTTGGGACAGCCCCATGGTTGCCATGGCAGACATGAAGTCCTGAGCCGCTCCTGATAAGGCCGTCTCGGCATGGACATTGAAGTCCCCCAGCACAAGGAGCCGTTGAGACTCCAATGCCAGGCCCGAGACCACCCCCGCTAGCTCAGGCAGGGAGACTATAGTGCAGCGAGGTGGACAGTACACTAACAGGATCCCTATTCTGTCACCCACCCTCAGGTAGACGCATTCAATATTTGTTGACTGCGGGATGGGGCCCCTGGTCAGAGGGATGGAATTTCTTAGAGAACCTCAGAGAAGTTTACAACTTATTTCACTATCTTGTAAACCCAATGAAACCAATAAAATACAGATATGTTCTTTCTCACATAGGACTGATTCTATGAGGTATGGTTTGTTTGGGAATTAGATGAAAGCTGAGAGCTAATAGTACTTACTACGATTGTCACATTTGCCAAGAGAACATGTCCTGGTTTGAATGGAGGGGCCTCGACAAGTGTTACTGGTGACATCACATGACCTCCCTCGCTGTTGGGTTCCAGATCCACATGTGACAGAGCATTCTGTCCACTCAGACCAAGGGGACCAGCCTTCTTCACTGTCATCAGCTGTGAATCAGAAGGAGCATTGAAATACACTGTTGTGTTACCTATTTACAAGTGAAAGTCCCAAAATAGCATATGCAGAAGACCCAAGCACTGCAAACTGAAGGACTGCTAGGTCTTGTAACTCTGAGCTATAGCAGCAAAAAAGACTGGATGCAGTCCAGCCATACAGTATTTTGCTATTATTTCTTAATTCATCTAATACTGTCCAACACGTGGGTCATTTAGTGCCCCAAATTTTGCACTCTAAACTTTTTTTACCTCTAAGTGTCTTATGTGACAATAATGGTTGGTAAAATAGAAGGCAATAGAAAAAGAGGAAGACTAATGCAGATGGATAATAAGGAAGCAACAGTCCTGTGTCTGCAGGACTTGAACAGGGCTGATGATCAGGGCTCTTGGAGGTCACTCATTCATAGGATCACCATAAGCTGAAGCTGAACTGATAGCAGTTAACAACAACAACAACTCCTGTGTCAAAATTTGGTTTTAAGTCTAAAGAAGTATCCCATGTCTGCAAGAACAATTGCTTCCTAAGTTTTCCCCATCTATTGATTTTTTTCCAGTTGCAGTGTTGATGTTTACATGCAGTAAACTTAAGAAACCCCAGTACTTAAAACGCATATAGAAAGTACTTTTTTGAAGACTGTAGCGCTTTGCACTATAAGTTTTTTGGACTGTATCGCCATGTTCCAGAAGCATTCACTTCTGATGTTTCGTCTGCATCTGTGGTAGGAATCCTCAGAGGTTGTGATCTCACAACCTCTAAGGATGCCTGTCATAGAATGCAGGCGAAACATCAGGAGAGAACGCTTCTGGAACATGGCCATACAGCACAAAAAACTTACAGCAACACAATTGGTTTCCCTGAAATTAAAAGATATTTTGATATTCTGTTAAATTAAGCATAATTGAATATTGCATACTATACTACTTTTGTTGTTGTTGTCCATTCATTCAGTCGTTTCCAACTCTTTGTGACTTCATGGACCAGTCCACGCCAGAGCTATACTACCTAGTTCATTAATTATATTGGTACTCCATATACTCTAATATGGCATGTTGTCTTCCCAAAGCATATGGGGTATAGTAACACAACCCCAAACTTCTGCTTAGCATTTGCAGATCATACTTACAGTGGGAGCACACAGGACAACACTCGCCATCAATGAAAGATGGGCTGACACAGTGCACTGCCGGGCATGTGATTTTATTGCATACTGTTTTAGAGTTCTACAGGCAAAAAAGCAGAAATGCAACCATTATTCAAAGAATAGGTGAACCAAGTGTCCTACTATTTGGCATAAAAATCCTAAATACAACCTTTGTGCAATGCACCTCAAGCAGACAAGCACAAAATGTTCCTTTCTTGTTAAACACTTGGAATGTTCATCTAATGGAGAAGAAAATGTTTATTGCAAGAATTGTGTTTGATCTATCTGAGCTCACCTTTGAGGGGCAAAAGATTAACCACAGTAGAGCAAAGCAGAGCTAGACTGTAATGGGCTACACAAAATACCTAATTACATTTCTGCTATCTGTTTATCTGTCTGTGGGGCTGGAGAAATGGCATGTTGTATAAAATATACACATATATTGAAGTCTCACCTGACAGTGACATTTTGTACAGCTGTCCACCACCCAGTGTGAATTGTTTACAAATTCACGACCATCTTGCCAACATGCTGACTGGTTCTTCAGGGTCTTGTTGGGGCCAAGCAATTCTGACACAATTTTTTCATTCACTTCAGACTGTACAATGAAATAAAGAGATCAGTACAACTACATTAGTTATTTTAACTGATATAACAAAATTACAGCACACATTCTAGCATTTTTTTATTTTTTAAAAAACACAAATACAGCCTGTTTGCAATGTATCAAAAGCAGACAAGCATGAAATTTTACCTCCTCTAAGTTTAGATTGTTAAAACACTTGGAAAAGTAATTTCTTTTATCCAATGAGTATTTAGCCAAAATGGAAGCAAAGAATTAAGTGACTGCACTATTCCTCTGGGTGCAAACTTGTCCGTTAATGCTCCTGGTGCTTGCCAAATTTAAACAGATCCCAGTACATTCTCCTGAAAAGCATTTCTGCCAGAAGAATTTGTCTCCCTTAATATGGAAGATGACTTCATTCTTGAAATGAACATCACATGACTTCAGATCCAATTTAAATGTGTGAACTTCATTTGTAGCACAGAACGTGGCACAATGAAGAGAGAAACAGGCAAGGATGAAAAAGTAGATTTATTGTTTTTACCGATACAGGGACATAGACATGTAAAAAATATACCTGTAGGGATTGTCCTCCTTTGGACCGAACTCCCATACCTCCAAACAGATTAATATGCTTCATGGTATTATTTCTTACAAGGAACTAAAGATACAATAAGAGCCCTGCTAGAGGCCTATTTAGTTCACCATTCTCTTCACATAGTGATTAACCACTTTCCCCATGAGAAGCCCACCACCAAAAGAATGCCACATAAAAGCTGTATATAGCAAATCGATATTTTCAGAATCAGCCATTGAATATATGTGTAAACATTATTGTTTTCCAGTAAAGCTTGAAATCAATCTATGCTTTATATGGTTGCTGATTATTTCTTTGTTTGCTGAGAAGACATCATCCACAAAAGCTGTGTCCTAATGACTCTCAATGTTGACACTTTTGCTGTCCTACAATTCACATTATGAACTGGTGAGGTCCTCTTTTTTCAGACCTATCCATACTATTCTGAATTTGTCTACATTTGGGCAAGTGGATGAATGCCCTTCTTGTTTTTGATCCATTTTCAGCCCCTTTTCCAGAAGCTTACACCCTCATCAGCTTCGAATTCACCCTCATCTGATGAGGTTGTAAGTCAGAAGCACCACTTTGAATTGTGTCAGGAAACAGATTATCAATAACTAGAGCTATTGTAACAAGGGAATTGTATGTTCCTTGTAGCCAGCCCTACATAGTAATCTGGCTGCATTTGTTTAGACCAGACACGGGCAAACTTTGGCTCTTCATGTGTTTTGGACTTCAACTCTCAGAAATCCAAGCCAGTTTACTAGCTGTTATGAACTGTGGGAGTTGAAGTCCAAACACGTGGAGGGCTGAAGTTTGTCCACACATGCCAATCAAAGGTGAGTCACAAAACATCTAAAACTGAACAGAATGGTCATACCTACCACTTTTTCTAACTTTTCAGTTAAGCCGTTGACAACAATGCGCAACCCAGTGAGTTCAGTAAACATAGACCCAAGCTCTTCACAAGAGCGATCACAGAATTCTGGCTTCTTCTCAGTGTTGTCCCCAATGTATTCTGTCATGACCGAAGGGGTGAGGTGAAGGATTTCTGTGCTCTCATTGATGGTGTTCACTTCAGCTGGCAGGAAGAAAGCAAAGAAAGACCATGACTTATATACAACAGCTTTCCACTGATTATAATGTTTGGCTCAAATTATACATTGTTGCTATAGGGGGAATGCAACTGCATCATGCCAAATTATACACATGAGAAAAACAGAAGGTTTAGATGTAAGACCTGTCCAATTATAGCTCTTTTCACAGTTTATATCCCAGCTGTGAAAGTGCCAAAGTTGCAAGCTTGGGAGCAATGAAACAGAAAAGTCCTTTAGGGACATACTATCAGGCATATGTAATGCTATACATAATCCACTTAAAATACATCAAATGCTCCATAATTATTCTGGAGGGGGGATAATACATTCTGAAATCATGTCAACATTCTGTTCCCTGAGAACTAAAGATAAAATGAATTGCCATGCTGATAAAGCAAATATTTTTGCTTGATCAGCTACTGAGAGAATTTACAATAAATCTAGCAGGAATGCATAAACAAATTCATTAATAAAATTGTTATCACCCTTTTCAAGGATTTCAATGGAATTAGCCCAAACAATACATCCCACCAGTTGTTTACAAAGACAATGGCCTCGAATACTATACATTATTGGAAAAATACTCCATTGTTGTTACAGACATCCAAAGCAAGAAGGGACTTTTTTTGAACATATTGAAGAAGCAAATTATTTCTGGCACATTACTATAGATTATGTTAAAAAGAACTGAAAATGGCTTGCCATTTAGAATGAGAGTAACACAGGGTTGCCAGAGTTGCTTTCAAATGAGCAAAACTGGACACAGTAGATACCAGCTTTAGACTGGCCCGGGCATATGACACAGACCTATATAAGTCTGTTTCAAATCTTCATCCTATGAGATTTCCATGTTCTTATGAGACCTCAATCTCATGGAAACCCAAACATGCAAATCTTGCTATGATAGCCCAGCCATCACAAGCTCACAATTTCACTTTGCTGATTGAGCCAGCCAGTTGGTGGAAAGGGGAGAGGCAGACAACATGCTGGCTGTGGTCCCAACAGACAAAAAGCCCTGCATTGGTCTTTCCCAAAAGTATGCCAAAACAATATGGAAAGAAACAACAAAACAAGACTATAAACTAAAGTACCCTACATTATAGAATCATAGAATAATAGAGTAATAATAGAATTGGAAGAGATCACATAGGCCATCTAGTGCAACCCTCTGGTACACAGGAAATTATATTATGGTGTTTCTTGGTATAAACTAGAAAATTGGTTGATGAAAATACACTTAACATTTCCCTTTCAACAGTATTGCTTTGAAATCCTCTGAGTACTCGTTTCCCTGTTTGCATTTAACATAAAATTATTATTCTATCCTATCAGATTTGTCATTGATCCATTCCTTTGGGCTTCACACAAACCTACCATTTGCCAAAATATGTGATCATGTGCTTTTCTTTTCCATTTCTGGCCAAATAGCTTAACCATTGGTTCGTTCCATCAAATATAAGGTCTGCTCAAGGGCTGCTTGTGGTCTCTTGGTATCCAGTTTTTCAGTTGACATGTCCATAATTTCTCTTTTGTTCATGCTATACGCCCTGCCAATCTTCTTTTTGCCTCATAGATTTCATTGTCCATGTAACCTATCCCTGTTCTATGACAAAGCTCTTTATTGCCGACTTTATCTTTTATTGTCACACCACAATTATTTCCGTTATTGCTGCCCATGTTTCAGGTGCATTTAACATTGCTGGTAAAACTGTAGCATTGAAGATATCTGCTCTGATCTTCATTGTAGCTTATCATCTGAAACACTCTCCAGTTTCAATAAAAAATCATCCAAGCAGCCTTGCATCTTCCTGCCCATTTTCCATTTGCCAAATTATTTGACTATATTATAAAATTATTACTTAGGGGCAAAATTTAATTACCCAGAACAGCCAAAGGTTCTTTATCCCTGCTCTAGCGATAAAGCTTTTTTGCAAATTGTATTGCCACTGCCGGTGACATTGTAGGAATGGAAACAGAGGGACATCACAATTTTGCTCTCAGACAAATTTATTTTAATCAGAAGTAATTCTAAGGCTGCCAAAAAAATTTACCAGCATGTGTAAATATAGTTAAATGAGCACAAAATTGGGCATTAGATCAACAGCATAGAAATATGTTCATGAGCAGAATTTGTTTGGCAGGGGAATGACAATTACTGCTAATAATGTTAATTAATCTCACAACTGTAAAAATGATTAAGTTAATCACTTTCTAAAGTCTGTAATGAATTGTTTCAAGCACTGAGAAATTTAAATAACTTGGCTGTCTTAGCATGTAGACCAGAGGCTCTAGAAATACAGCAAAGCACAATAGAGGCATTGATTATGAGTTGCCACTTGTTTCAGGATCATCTTCAGCAAGTGAAAGGAGGTATTCCCATCACATATATATGCGGTAGCTTTGTGAGGTTACCTCATGTGACATTTTTGAGCTCTTTGAAGTCAGATATTAATGTCTCGAGTCATCACATGATATGGGTAGGCAACAGATACAAAAACAAACACTCAGGCAGCACTGATCATGTGCAGAGTCATCCATGAATTTCATTCTTTAAAAAATTTAGAAAACCTATCCAAAAGTTCAGTGAGTTCAACTGGAATTTTAGAAATTAGAATCACAGAATCATAGAATTATAGCGTTGGAAGAGACTTTGTGCGTCATCCAGTCCAACCCCCTGCTAATTGAAACAGATCCATCATTCTACCCCTGTTCTTCTAGTCTGGGAAATAAGGAGTTGTAAATAATCAATTGGAAAATTGAGTACCAGATATTTAACTCAAGTTTTTCTATTTTTACAACATTTCTCCAGACCACATTCTTATACAAGTGAAGAGTATTTCATAAATAAATCTAATTCTCCTCCTCTCAGAACTGAAAATCTTCCTTCAAAACATACAGAAAGCAACACCTGGAATCTGAGTTGTGTGAAAGCTCTTTGGAGCCAAGAAAATATCAGTTTCAATTCAATACTATTAGAAGAAGCCTGTGATAACTAACAGATTAATCTTTAGTTGCAATGACTTATTTTTCTCTTCTTGACGTACTTAATAAGATCAATGACTTACATAAAAAAAGATTAAAAATGGCAAAGCAAGAACATGCCAAGAGTATTTCTTTCAATACTTTTGCGACACCAAACAATATAGCAAAAAGTCATTTACATCAACTTATAAATATTCCACACAAACAAGGACTTCAACACAAATAATGGAAGAAACCCATTTTATTTGCACTATAATTGTCTTAAGTAGGACATGGCCAGAAAAAATTATCCAATTCTATTCACAAATAATCATGCTAAAATTCCCATTCCAAACATTTACAATTGACTGGGGGGTATTACAGGGCTTCGTGATTTACCCTCCTCTTTTGATTATTCACACTTCCTACTGGAACCTGATAGACAGTAAAAGACAAAACTAGTCATAAAAGAATAATAGTACACTATCTTCTTCTTACCTGATTGGCTCTTCTGGCATCCTTTGTTATGTAACACATCCTCTACTGAAGTTCCAAAAATCAGATGAATATTTTGTATGAGACCCTACACACAAGACAGGAAAGTATTTCATATTATTGTAATTATAGGATAAGAGAGTAATAAGGTTGTTAACCTTATCCTTTCTTCTCTTTTCCTACCTTAACACCACAAACTATTGAATTGTAAATTATTTCTATGGTTATACATGAATAAAGCAGATTTTTTTCAGCGGGGGATAGAATATTCAAACACTCTAGAGTACTAGCATATATCCCAACCTTCGTGATATTTGCACATAAGATGACTCCATATGAGAAACATAGTACTCAGTGTGAACAATATACCAAGAGACTTTGATTGAAATCCTTAGATAGCAATGTAATCACAGGGTGGCCTTGGGCCAGTCTACTCTACTTCACAAATTACAATGTAGATATTCTCAAGTAGGAGAGAATAAAGCATATCACCTTGATTCCTTGAAAGAGCTAAATTTAAAAAACCATTCATAATATAGGCAACTATAAGATCATTTTATTTTTACATCAGTGTAACTATCATATTTTCCAAAGAAAAGGTTCATAGATTGGTACTGGAAAGTCCAGGACAGATAGCCCAAATAATTCCACACTATTATAGTCCCCAGCATTTAATGGGCAAATAGAATGGCTAATTGGTAATCCTACCCTAGACTGTATGGTTTTTGCAGTCTGTTTCGGCACTATGATTCTACCCTACATTTGTCTACTCAGAAGTGATCTCCATTGAACTAAGTGGGGTTCACTCTACACAAAGCTAGTACAATATTACAGACCAATTTCCTTGCATCTGTATTTTTATTTGTCATTGAAATTCATTTTCAGCAAAACAAAAATGGACCAAAAGTAATATGAAAAAGCTTAATTAACATATATTCACTTGGGGAACTAGGATAGCTAAAACCATTGAAGGAAGTTATCTATGAGAAATCATCACAAGCAGTGAAAATGCTCTAATTCTTCTAGGAAATAGTTGCAAATCTAATCCTGGCTGACTGGAGTAATTGTCATCCAGAGAACCTGAGGGTATGGAGCAGATTATACAGGAGGAGCTAATTCCAGAGATAACCTGGACCCAAACCACCTAGGGCTTTAAAAGTAACAACCCTTTGTAACTTGCTTGGAAACTAATGGCAGCCATTGGAGTGATTTTAATATTAGTGTAATATAATCATTCCTACATGTACTGTTAAGCAATCATTCTGTCATGTTTTGAACTAACTGAAATTTTCAAACTTGGCACAGAAGTAGTCCAACGTACAATGCATTGGAGTGTTACATGTTCCTCTGAGTCCACAGCCAAGAACAAAAGACAAATATGGTCCATATAGTGTGAAGAACACTTATCTTCCTTGTGGAGGCACACAGTTCCATTCCATGTGAGAGATGAGGTTGTGTAGAAGTGTTTCTCTTTAAAATATTGGAAAGATGCAATGAAAAACAATTTCTACTATTATTTCTTTTAGTTTAAGGTGGAGTACTAAATACTGAATGTTCCAATTTATCGCAAACAGAGCCAGGTGTTGGTAGAAGAGTGGAGGTATACAGAAGAAATCCCTTCTACACACATTCACAACACTATGCTCTTTTGGGGGGGGGGATACACTGTTGAGGGGGAAAATCATTCAAACGCTGGTTGGAGTCTTTGCCCATTTGGTGAGCATGTCTAGGAGTTCAGAGGATTCCGACTAACAAATCTTTGTGCTCCCCCTCCTTGATTACAATTACACCTCAAACAATCTTCTTAATCTTCTTAATTCCTTCACAATTCAACATTCTGACTTTGTATGGAAAACCACTGTGGGAATCTTCTTGGTGACTAAGGTAAAGGTTTTCCCCTGACATTAAGTCCAGTCATGTCCGACTCTGAAGTGTGATGCTCATCTCCATTTCTAAGCCGAAGAGCTGGCATTGTCTGTAGACACCTCCTAGGTCATGTGGCCGGCATGACTGCAAGGAGTCTTGGTGACTAGGGTGCCAAATAAGAGATTCTCAGAGTGGCCACACATAGTCCCAATAAATAGGGGACTTTTCATTCTATTTTATGGCCAAAGTGATGAGGCACTGGAAGCATAACATGGGTTTCTAAAAGTACAGTATTTCACACATTCTTAGCAACAGCCACATAGGACCTATTTTGAAGAAATGCCCTGAATTGTACTTAAATTGTAATAAAACATTGTACATATCTTTGTTGACATTGACATTTTGTGTACTCAACCAAGTATTTGTTGTGCATTTGTTGTGCATTCAAGTAATTTACAACTTATGATGGCTCTAAGATGAACCAACCTATCACAGAGAGTCTATAAAGTTTCCCAGTGAGTTTTCATAGCAGAGCAGAGAATTGAACTTTGGTCTCCAGAGAAGAAATACAATGCCTAAGCCACTACATCATACTAGCTCTCAATGAAATATATTCACACATTAAGATAAAAATTAGAATATGGTCACTCAGATACTACACAGACACATCACCAATATGCAGCTTTTCATTTAGCTCCATCATACAGGGAACCTTAGAAAGCAAGTAGAAATTGTGTGGACTTTTCTTTCTTATGTTAATCTCCCATTTGAAAGTTGTACTTGCAAAGAGGCACAGCTGGTTACATGGACTTGATCTTCTCAAAGAGTTGTGCAGCTATTGCAGTGGCAGAGAGGCAAAAACATTTCTTCCAAAAATAATCCCACTGAAATTTTCCTTTAGTCTCCAAATATCTAGCATTGTAGTGACTTAAAACATCCACTAAGCATTTAGATATACAGTGCAGGCACCCAAAGAGAGGAGACAGACAAAATTACTATGGAAAAGCAAATATAATGCAAGAGTTGTAGAGTCCTTCTACACAGGCACTAAAATCTGGCCTGAAGGTGGCTCAAGCTCAGGGGTTCTAGAAAACATTCCTCTTCAACAATGTGATCTCCAACAAAAATCCAACTGGAAACAATGTGACTCAATAGAAATTCCAGATCAAGCTATAAATTCCACTGAAGCTCCCCTGTTTTATAAACACTGCACAGATGGAAACTAAATGTGGCGCACTTAGGTAGATAGGGCTAACACAGCAGCAATCATAGTAAGAAGCCACATACACAGCTCAGAAGGTAAACTTATTATTATTATTATTATTATTATTATTATTATTATTATTATTATGTTTATTTATATCCCACTTTCTCTCTCCATACAAAGTCTCAAAGCAGCTCTCAACTAAAAGCATTGCAATACAATTTCATATATACCTCGTACAAATATACAAGTATTAAAACAGTATTGAACATCATTTAAAGCATATAAAAATGCAGCAGACCCTAACAATTTTAAAAACCTTTTTCTTTAAAAGCCTGCCTGAATTAAAAGGTTTTAACATGAAGGGCAGCAGGGTGGGGGCCATTGTGGCTTCCCTGGGCAGAGTCGAGAGGCAGTCAGGGAAGACCCTCTCTCTGATTCCCACCAATTGAGCTTGTGATGGAGGTTGGACCAAGAGAAGGGCCTCTCCTGAAGATCTCAGGGGCTGGGCAGGTTTGTACAACAAACACCTCCTACATGGAAAGCAAACCACTGTGTCCCTATGAGGATGTTCAATTGTTGTATCTTACCTTGCTGTGATCCAGTAAAGTGCTGAAAAACTGTTTTTTGCTGGTGCAGCTCTCGGGGGGGGGGGGGGCATGGATATCTTGAACTGTCACTGTTACAGCTGCCAGACAGTTCATGAGGTGTTTGTGTTCCAATGTGCCTTTGAATAATGGTTTAAATACTGATTAAGTCTGCCTAGCCCTAACCTTTTCGGTTGGATTCCAGCACTTTATTTGCAGCCCTGGTCCTATATTTTGCATTAGCACAGGCTCTTGTCCTGCCCTATCAGTCTCAAATCTGCACATGCCCACTTTTCTCAGCCACTGGTTGGTTGATGCTTGAGTTATGTTTTATGATGTCTTACATTTTATTGGTTTTATTGTTCCAATATATTTTACTGTAAAAGTTTTTAATTGTGTTCCTTGTTATCTTGTTTATATTGGGCTTGGTCCCCATGTGAGCAGCCCCAAGTCCCTTTAAGGAGATAGAGGCGGGATACAAGAATAAAGTTGTTGTTGGTGGTGGTGTTGTTGTTGTCATGATGATTATGATTATATTCCAAAGTGAACCAGATCTTTTACATTGACTTCCTGACCTGGATTAATTGGCTGTGTAGAGGAAACCCCAGTTTTGAATGATTTTCAGTATCTAACTTTCTGCAGTGCTAGAGATTTGGGGCCTCAAGAAAAAATTCATAGGAAAAGAAAAAATATTATTTACAGGTGGGATAATATAATCATTTTACTCTTTAAGTAATGAGTGAAATACTTGGGGACAGAATTCATCAAATGGTGTAGAAGGGAATACGTGAAACAAAACAGCTAGATAGCTCACACATGAGCAAAACACTTGGTTCATACAGGACTCCAATGAATTGGCTCATCTGTGTCTGATTGTGGAACCTCCAATTCTCCACCTTCTCTCTCTCTCTCTCCCTCTCTTTCTCTCCAGTGAAAACATATACATAGTGGGTTCCTTTTATTTCCTTGCTATTTTCCTGGTACATTGCAACAGCCATTAATGAACTATGAAGCAAGCATTTGATCTTCACTAAAAACATTTCATATACACAGCAGAACTCCAAGCATTTATTTGAACAATAGTTTTACTTAAGGAAATGCCTTTGAGTTTATCTATGGTTAATTCTTTAGGAAGGGTAGAAACTAGTACCAAGACTCAGGACTCATTTCAGACATTCAGAAGACATTGAATGTGTTTCAAAGCCATTTTGTTGTATTCTAATTTGATTTGATTCAATAACACATATCATCATGTGTAGCCGATGTCTGTAATTATAAATCAAAACCCATTCCGTGTGTTCCTACCAAGTTGAAAACAAAGACATTCAAGAATTAGCATAAAAGTGGTCCCCTGTCCCCAATTATAATTTATAATATATAATACTTTATTTGTAATCCACCCTATTTCCCCAGGGGGGCTCATGGCTGTTTCCAGAAGTAACGTGGCAAACATTAAATGCCAAAATGTGCAACAAAGAAAATAAAAATAGCAAGTAAATAGCATCAATATAAACTTAAAAACTTAAATGACAACCAACAAATAGTTATATCATACACATTTACAACAAAATGATCTAAATCATTAAAGTGCATTAAAAGTATAAAATGATGAGTGATAAAATAATGTGATGATGACATACATCCGCCAAACAGTGCTGAAGTGCATTTCCAGTGCCCAAGTGAGGATATATTGAGTTGTGCTAATTCTCCTCCTCTCCATAAGCTAAGGTGCAAAAATGGATCTTTAAAAGATTTTTAAAGGAGAGGAGGGAAGTGACAATTTTTACTTCTTTGGGGAGGGGAGGGAGTTCCAGAGGTGGGGGGGGGCTCCCTCTCTCATCCCCACCAACCACGCTTGAGACAGGGCTGAGACTGAGAGGAGGGCCTCCTCCACTAGACTGGTGTTGGTTTATATGTAGAAATGTGGTTAGTTAAATAGCCTGGATACAAATCATTTAGGGCTTTATAGGTAATAATCAACACTTTGTATTTAGCCTGGAAGCAGACCAGCAGCTTCTGCAACAGGGGAGTAGTTCAGTCAGTAACCTGGCTGCCTATCTCTGGACTAGTTGAAGCTTCTTAACTATCTTCAAAGGCAGCCCCATGTAGAGAGTGTTTCAGTAGTCCAGATGGGCTGTAACTTAGATGTGGGCTACCATGGCCAGATCTGGTGTCTCAAGGTATGGGCACAGCTGGCACACAAGTTTTAACTGTGCGAAGACACTCCTGGCTATTGCCAACACCTGAGGTTCTAGGGTCAGTGATGAGTCCAGGATCACCTCCAAGCTGAAAAGCTTGCATCTTCAGGGAGAGTGTAACCCCATCCAACACAGGCTATAACCCTATACCCTGATCTGCCTGAGGAAGACAATTATGAAATTTCTCTTAATGACAGTTATTCAGTCAGGATCCAGCTTATTTCAAAATATACTATTTATTTTTTTTGGGGGGGGGGGAGGGATTGTGAACTTTTTTCTCTAGTCCCACTCAGACTCTGCTTTCTCTTACCATAATCAATGGTGGTTGGTAGCTCTCACATCAGCCGAGCAGTTAATCTACCCCAGATTTTGGCACAAATTTTAAGTGTTCTCCAAGGTGCGGAAGCAATTTTAACCATGCAGTTCAACACCCTTATTTCCTTTGAAGTTCAGGCTAATGCCTAAGGTGGATTTAGTTCAAAACTAACACAGAAACCACCAGGCTGATAAAGAATATGCAGATCCAAACCCCAATCATCCAAAAAGCTAATTCAGTGGCCTTTGGCCAGTCATTCTCTCTTGGATTAATCTGCAATTGTGAGGTGGGGGGGGGGGGATGTGTGTAGGGCTGTATCTGTCACAATTCCCAAAATGCTATGGCCCTTAATAATAACATTCTGTAAAAAATCAAAGACCTCAAATGGAAGATAAATATCTGATTATATCTTTCAGTTACATCTTCATTAGTTGATTTTTGTCTAATCCTTGCCCATGAAAATGTGATATTAAGTATACTTATCAAGATAAAGATCCATTGATCATCTCAAGGCAAGTAAGGTTAAAATTGTATATACAATTATTTGGGACTATGTCTGCTGAATTCAGAAGCTCATCCTTCCAGGCATATGTGAATAGGAGTGCACTGTATGTCCTTTGACCCATAGAAGATGTTTTTTGCAGGTTACCTACCCGGAAGTGGTTCTCTCTTGTAGATCCTTTCACCACATACATTCTACTTTTCTCTGCTTTCAGGTTTTCATAAAAGGGCTCCTCCAGGCTTAAGCTGTCAATGAGGTCACATCCAACATACAGACTGTAGCTTTCTCCTGTTACTTGTATAGTTATATTTTTCCATTGTAGATCAGCTAGGTCCACATCTTCCAAAGGATACCCCTTCCGGAAATCATCTACCCAATAAGAAAGCTCAAGTGTATTGTCTCGGCCATTGGAAATAATTTCAAATTGCCTCTGAGAGATGCCAGGGCCTTCCAAAGCAATGATGGTGCCCCTGGAGTCCCTGTCTTGCCTGAAGGTGGCAGTAAGAATGAATCCTTCATTTTGTTGGATCAGTTTAACAATCTGTTTTAATTTCTCAGAGTTAAGTGGAGGTATATGATCAAACCGGATGAAGCGGTATGCTGGAACCCCAGAAATATTACCCCTGAATGCTTTTGCTCCAATGGTCTTCCTGTTGATGTTGCTGATCTGCATCAAGTCAAATGTGGTTTCATCTCCATGTTCATCTGAAAAGTTATTTAGAATATGATTAATAAAGAAACATATAGCTTGGTTCTGTTAATTTAGCTAATGTGTCTTATACCAAAGTACAGTTTGAACATGACCCATTGCCATTAAAAAAAACAACTATAGTGCAATTTGTAGCAATTAGGTCACTCATGCTCACGGTAATATGGTCACCCAAAGCCTGAATTTACAGATGGGTAAAAGCAGATAGAGAGTTTACATAATTCAATGTCAGTCCCAGCCGAAAAGAAATGTGCACCTGGTTTCTTTGAACCCAGTCACCACTTTACCCAGGAACTTCACTGGATAAATAAATAAGAAATTAAATTGTGGGTTGCTATTCAAGTTAGTCACATGCTCAAGGAATTCCACACATTCTGGTTCTAAAATGCTATATGGAAATATGCTGCCCCATTCATTTTCAGGGGTAGAGGTTACCTTCCAGACCTGTTTCTTATAACATTACACTCTGAGATGCTCCTTTCTGCACCATTCCTTCAATCACAGGTGAAGAGCCACATTGCACCTTCTCCTTACTGCTAGTGTGTAAAGGAGTCTCAGCATAGCATAGGTTCCCCCCATGTATTCCCATATTACTCATTTCACAAAGAGGTTCTGGGGGAAGGAGCACTGCCCACAGTACTAACATTATAAACGTCAAGTGTCTTAATAGAGCTTTTATAGTATTATAAAAGCCAAGTGTCTTAATATCACAGAAAGATTGAAATATGCATTTCCACAGGTAGTTTTCTGTACTGTATAGGCAACAAAAAGGTGCTTTATATTAAGCCACACCTAGTCTGTATGACCATCTACTCTTATAGGCATCTAAAGGATCATAAGTAAGAACCTTTTCCCAGCCTTGCCACCTAAGACCCAATCTGGGACTTCTCAGATCCAGGAGACAAGCTCAAGTTTCCCCATATTTGGATTTGTGTAGTATCGGGATATCATGCACATCATGGGTCATGGAAATGTCTGGCAGTTCCTGGTCAGGGAATATGTTAATCTTTTGGGACCCAAGCTTGGGAAAGTCATTGCTATGCTTTCTTCTCTTCAGCTAAGGCTGTTGATTATACTGATAATGACAGCTCTTCCACAGCTTTACTGCTGACTCTAATTAATAATAATTCTTGGGTTAGGAATTATTGCTCCTCTTATAGCATCAAACATCAGATCCAGCAATTCCATTTATTTGGTACTTTGATTCTATGATTCTATGACTCTAGGAGAAGTTGTAGAAGTTATTCAGGAAGCTGAATAAATGTTCAGGTTAATAACCTAACAAGTTGTCTAAGAATGTTTGCTACTGTTATCGTATTTATTGAAACTAAGGCAATTAGAGTTATCAGTAAAAGTCCCAGTGAAAAGAGGAGGAATGCACTCTGTCATTTAGTATGAAGTTTACGGGAGCTTTCCAAGGTTCTGAAGGCTACTCCTAAGGCTACAACTCTAAGTCAGATTGACACAAAAGGCCACCAGTCAGCATTAAGAAATCCAGACAAAGCAGGATGCAAGCCCAAAAAAAGGACATGGCAATTTTTCAAATTTCTGCATGTGAATTCTCAGTAAAGTGAATCCAATAATAATCAGCTGAGTTGCTAGTGTTTAAGATTGTTTACATTGCAAGTTAATTTGATACTTCTGAACATCTGATGTGCAATCAAAATTTGTTCCACTAATCTTTTTTGTTGGCTCTTTTCTTGATACATTTCTTGTAAGGCATGTTGTCAATTCAAACTTTCATTTTCCAGGCATGCAATGGAATGAAATATTTGAACAATTATTCTTAAACCCAAGCCAAGTGAGTGTTCAAACTAGCTCTTTTTAGAACTCATATTATAGTTGTAGCGGTTTCTATCCACTCTGGACATGTGAGATGCTTTGGTCCAAACATTATACATACTTCGAAACATACCTTGAGCCTCTGATGAAATCCACAAAGTTAACAAGATTGTTAGCCACAGTAGCCAACTCCGGTGTAACATAATGCCTGCCAAGCAAAATATATGCATTATTGAATGTTCTTTGTTCATTTTAAAGACTAGCACATCATTCATAAACATACAAAAGAAACTACCATCTTGCTATGCAGCCCCCCAAATTCTGCTCCTTTATGGTATTTTATCGTCAGTTTATTCTAAATGTGGGACTTGCATTAAATCACCATATCTTTGTATTTTTCAAGCATACTTCTGTATTTGTGTATTATAATAGCTATGCTTGATCCAGACTTGACTCTGACAATATTAGTGAGAATGTTCACTCAAAAAGCAGCTAGAAGGTGGACTCCAGCTGTTGAATTACCTTCTTAATAAATTCATGGAAAATATACATATATAGTATAACCAGAATTGTCTTCAAAAGTTTTCCATGAGACGTCTAGGCACTCAAATAGTCTACTAGTTACTGCTCTTAAATCCACTTTTGGCGAGCTATAGAGCGACATTCTTGGATGATAATGGTATTTCCAGAAGGGTTTCACATGTAATTTAACTTATATATTCATCTAAAGCAGTAAATCCCAGCCTCTCTGTCTAAATCTGTCTCTCACGCAAATAATTCATGCACCTACACTCACGGACACACACCCATCACTGGAAAAAATAGTGTGCTATGCACCTTCAAGTTGATCTATAGCAAACCCAAAATAAAATTTATCACAGGGCTTTCTTGGAAAGATTTCTTCAGAGGAGGCTTGCTTTTGCCTTCCTCTGAGGTCATCCACATAGTACTTTGATTACATACAAACTTAGATAAAATTACAGGTGTATTGCGTATTGGCATCAACCCAATTGAATTCAATGGGATTTACTTCTGAGTAAATGCACAGAACTTGAATGGGAAACCTCTCATATTCACAGCTCTACTAAACAATGTCAACTGCACATACAGAAACAGAATTTTTGTGTAACACAACTGATTTCCTCAAGTGGGATCATGTTTATTTTGCATGATATGATATTATAATTCATAAGTAAAGGTTTCCCCTTGACATTAAATCTAGTCATGTCTGAATCTGGGGGTGGTACTCATCTCCATTTCTAAGCCAAAGAGCCAGCATTGTCCATAGATACCTCCAAGGCCATGGATCCTGCATGACTGCATGGAGTGCAATTACCTACCCACCAAAGCAGTACCTATTGATCTACTCACATTTGCATGTGATAAATTGGCAGAAGCTGGGGCTAACAGCAGGAGCTCACCCTGCTCTCTGGTTTCAAACTGCCAACCTTTCAGTCAGCAAGTGCAGCAGCTCAGTACTGTAACCTGCTGTGCCACCGGGGGGGCATTTATAATTCATAGACACCTCTCAATTTATCTGGTCCTTTCACACAATGTATTACAATTAATTACAGCAAGAGGATATCCATTCAACAGGAGTTCAAGGCTCAGTGTGAGTTAAAGTTAACCTGTTTAGTCCCTTGCTTTCATTAAAAGACTACAATGCTGCTGAGCTACTTTGCCAATAAATAAATAAACACATACATACACATTATAAGCCACGTCAGGAGTGTTTAAACCACTTTGATATTATTGTACTTTGAAGAAATGCTTCACTTTCTCAAGATATGGATTCATCATTAGTCAAGCAATCAAAATTTTAAAAAATGTATTGTCGAAGGCTTTCATGGCTGGAATCACTGGGTTGTTGTAGGTTTTTTCGGGCTATATGGCCATGGTCTAGAGGCATTCTCTCCTGACGTTTCGCCTGCATCTATGGCAAACATCATCAGAGGTAGTGAGGTCTGTTGGAACTAGGCAAAAGGGTTCCATAGATATATAAACCCTTTTGTCTAGTTCCAACAGACCTCACTACCTCTGAGGATGCTTGCCATAGATGTAGGTGAAACGTCAGGAGAGAATGCCTCTAGACCATGGCCATATAGCCCGAAAAAACCTACAACAACCCAAAAAAATGTAGTAGGTGCTGTCTAATGGTGGCTGGGAGGGCTTTCGCACATTTAAAACTTGTGTGCCAGCTGCCTTGAAAAGTCTGATCTGGCTATAGTGGTCCACACTTTAGTTACATCTCAGATGGTTTACTGCAATGCAGTCTACATGGGGCTGCCTATGAAGATGGTTCAGAAACTGCAATAGTGCAAAGAGCAGCAGACAGATTTCTAACAGGAGCTAACTACAGGGAGCACACCACTCCCCTGTTAAAGCAGCTCCACTGGCCCAATTCAAAGTGAAGGTTATTACCTATGAAGCCCTTCATGGTTTGGATTCTGCCTATTTGCGTAACTGCATCTCCCCCTATGAACCCATTTGGGCCTTAAGGTCCTCTGGGAGGCCCTTCTCATGATACCACCACCCTCACAAGCACAGCTGGTGGGAACAAGGGAGAGGGTCTACTCAGTGATGACCCCCAACTCTGGAATGCTCTTCCCTAATAAATTAGACAAATCCCCTCTCTAGGAACCTTTAGGAAAAGAACTGAAAACATGGACATGGAAGCAGATGTTTCAAAATGATTAATGAAATGAATGAAGGTTCTTTTGAATCATAGAATCACAGAGTTTGAAGAGACCTCGTGGGCCATCCAGTCCAACTCCATGCCAAGATGCAGGGAAATCATATTCAAAGCATCCCAACAGATGGCAATCCAGCCTCTGCTTAAAAGCCGCAAAAGAAGGAGCCACCACCACTACACTCCAGGGCAGAGAGTTCCACTGCTGAATAGCTCTAATGGTCAGGAAGTTCTTCCTAATGTTCAGGTGCAATCTCCTTTCCAGTACTTTGGAGCCATTGTTCTGTGTCCTTGTCTCCAGGGCTGCAGAAAACAAGCTTGCTCCCTCTTCCCTATGACTTCCCCTCACATATTTATACATGGTCATCAGCTGTCTCTACTGCAAGCTAAACATGCCCAGCTCCTTAAGTCGCTCCTCGTAGGGTTTGTTCTCCAGGCCCTTGATCATTTTTGTCACCCTCCTCTGGACACATTCCAGCTTATCAACATCTTCATTCAATTGCAGTGCCCAGAACTGGACACAGTGTGATTCCAGGTGTGGTCTGATCAAGACAGAGGGGTAGCATGACTTCCCTGGATCTAGACACTAGACTCCTATTTATGAAGCTCACATTCATGTTAGACACCAGTGAAATGAACCAGACTTTTCAGAGAGCCCCGTTCATTCAAATTGGGCAGGACTCCTCAACTGTGTCCCAATTATGTTGCTGTATCTTGTGCCGTGTGAGGTCTGAGTAAAATGCCAGACAAAGAAAATCCCTATAAATGATGAACAAACTCCTTGTAATGCTTTAGAATGATTTTGATTCCATTCTTATAGGAATTTTTTCCAGTGGTCTCTCTTTCAAGACTCTGGTGAAAAACCCTTCTACACAAAGCAAGTAGGAACACAATAGCACAAACATCTACAAGCCAGAGTGAGAAAAGGAGATGTGGGCTGCCATTCCAGCCACATGGGGTGGAGTAAGTCTAGAGTCCTCTGTACAACTGCCAGGGAGCAGATCCCATGGAACGCTATGGAACCCAGATCCATCTACACTCAATGGATCAGATCCCAGCAGCATTTAATTTCCCCATACACCGGCATTTCTCAGCTTGGGGGTTGGGACCCCTGAGGGGAGTTACGAGGGGTTGTCAGAGGAGTCACCAAAGACCACCAGAAAACACAGTATTTTCTGTTGGTCATGGGGGGTTCTGTGTGGGAAGTCTGGCCCAATTCTATTGTTGGTGGCGTTCAGAATGCTCTTTGATTGTAGGTGAACTATAAATCCCAGCAACTACAACTCCCAAATGTCAAGGTCTATTTTCCCCTCACTCCACCAGTGTTCACATTTGGGCATACTGAGTATCTGTGCCAAGTTTGGTCCAGATCAATCATTGTTTGAGTCCATAATGCTCTCTTGATGTAGGTGAACTACAATTCCAAAACTCAATGCCCACCAAACCCTTCCAGGGTTTTCTGTTGGTCATGGGAGTTCTGTGTGCCAAGTTTGGTTCAATTCAATTGTTGGTGGGGTTCAGAATGCTCTTTGATTTTAGGTGAACTATAAATCCCAGCAACTACAACTCCCAAAGGATAAAATCAACCCCCCAACCCCATCAGTATTCAAATGTGGGCATGTTGGGTATTTTTGCCAAATTTGGTCCATTGAATGAAAATACATCATGCATATCAGATATTTACATTACGATACATAATAGTAGCAACATTAAAGTCATGACGTAGCAATGAAGATAATTTTATGGTTGGGGGTCACCATATAATGGGGAACTGTATTAAGGGGTCGAGGCATTCGGAAGGTTGAGAAACATACGCTATGTACAGGACTTAGGAGTCATTTGCCCCTTTGATTTCGTGGAAACCTTTCCCCAGAGTTTTCTTTCCTGGACTAAAACTCCCCAAATCCCCAACCCGGCATGGTCAATGGCTGCTGTGCAGGCAGGGGGGTGCTGTGAGTTGGAATCCAGCGTTTCCCGACTTCTCTTACTACTCACTTTGTGTCGATTTATGAAGAGGAAGGGCGCGCTGGAATCCGAATAAGCCTGCGCCCGGCTCCACGTGTCCGCAGTGGGGATTCCTCCCAAAACCACCCGGTCCATGACCTTTCCCCTCCATCCCCAAACCTTTACCTGGTCTCCGACGTTTCCAGGGAGCCTCTGAAGTGCTGTAGCTTCCCAGTCCAGCCCCAGAAGAGGATAATGGGCTTCTTTTAAAAGCAAGCGTGCGTGGAAGAAGGAGGGTGCCGCGCCAAGCCGGTCCTTCCAAGGATGTTCCCTGGCAGGAGTCTGGAAAAGGGAAAGCGCTTTGCTTCGCTTCGCCTTGGGCTGGGATGCCTTTCAAGTGGCTTCCCAGCCGTTTGCTGGCCCGCTTTATATAGGCTCCTGGGCCAGGCGAGGGGCTGTCAATCAGCCAGCGGAGGAAGCGCTTTGGACTCCCTGCCTCTCCGCCGCAATGACATAATCCCTTGCGCCGAGCCGACCCTTTGCGCTCTCGCCTACCTGGAAAGACTTTCCTGAAGTTAGAAGCCAGCCCCCCGCCTTCTCTCCCCAGTCTCAATTGGCAGCTCAGGGAAGGGCCAGACAGATAAGCCTCCCCTCTGTCTCCCACCCACCACTTCGGAAGGCATGGAAAGGGGCTTGATTTGCTTCCAAACTATGAATCCCGCCTCCCCCAAAATCCTTTCATACTCAAGCAGGGTCTGGCCATGGCTGGGGAGGAGGGCAAAGAGAAGCACCTTTGCCACGCCTGTGCCACTCAGCTGCATCCATAAAGGAAAAACCACTCTTTCCCTCGAGTAAATAGGAGCTTGGAAAAGTTACTTGCTAAAACTAGGAAGAGACAGTGGCGCTTTCGATGGAGGGAGTCTAAAAACTAGGAAAGAGTGCAAACTTTCCCAAGCACCGGACAGTACAAATGACCAAGGAGGGGGCAGATTAAAAAGTAGTGAGCAAAGCAAGGCATTCCCCGCCCCTGAACTCTGCCCCCAGGGATGGGAAATGTACTTTCTGAACCCACATTTCCAGCACTGCAAAGAGTGAGGGGTTGAAAATAGTTCACATCCAGAACTCCAATGTTTGCTGATTTTTTTTCATTCCCTTGTTATCTTTGCCTGGTTTTCTTTGGATGCCTTCATTGTTTTTCAAACTCAGTGGTTCCTAACCTTTTTTTAAAACTAGGGACCATTTTGACCAGGGACCACTTTGACCAGAGATCCCTTGACCAGGAACCACTTTGACCAGGAACCATTTTGACCAGAGATCTCATTGACCCCTTGACCAGAGACCACTTTGACTAGGAAACACTTTGACCAAAGACCACTTTGACCAGGGACCACTTTGACCAAATGCTACTCTGACCAAGGACCACTTTGATCAAGGACCACTTTGACCGAGGATCACTTTGACCAGAGACCACTTTGACCAGGGACCACTTTGACCAGGAACCATTTTGACCAGGGGACACTCTCTAATGTGAGTACCAAAAGGGTTACGAATCAGTTTTTGGTCAACTTTAGATTCAATTTGGTTATTTGGAGTGCTGATTCAGAAAACTGCATTGGATAGACCACATCAGCTCTAGTTTCTGATGCAGAACATTTGCCACCCAGAAGTCGTAATCTGCTTGCCCACAGAAAACCATATTTATTTTATTTATTTATTTATTTAATACACTTGTATACCGCTAATATCTCAGCCTAAGTCGGCGACTC